TCTCTGGCCATTCACTGGAGGCTTTATCCACATGGGTGCAAATAGATTCTGAGTTTTCACTGTCATCCTTCCAAAACTAAACTCACTGGCATCGAGTTGATTCTGACTCATGGTAACCCAGTGGGCAGGGTGGAACTATCCCCGTGAGGTTCTGAGTTGGAGTCTTTACAGCAGTAGAAAGCCCCACGTTTCTCACATGGAGTTGCTGGTGGTTTCAGAGTGCGGACCTTGCAGACTGCAGTCCAACCTTCTGCACATTGACTGCTCAGAATTTAATATTGTTCCCTCCTCTGGTCTTGGATTTTATTATTTCCAATCCATGCAACACAGGCTTCCGTGCTGCTTCTGTATGGAATTAGTGGACGCCTTACTTAGATTGCTACATGTACGACGAACTTACGACCCCAGATGCCATTCTTTCTGATAGCTGGGTGCCGTCTGTTTTCTTCACCACACTTTGCTGTAGCACCCTTATCTTCTATCATGTCTTCAGGAGGGCAAGTATTGAGTAGGGCTATGTCTCATAAAAACTAATTAGAGTTTACAATTAGTGCAAGCAAAACGAGCAACAATTTGGCTTGATTTGCCAAATAGTATTTTCTTTAAGATTAAAAAATTGATTTAGTTAGAATCATTAAATTTCTTAATTATTACATGTGTACATGTTGTGAACAAATTTTTTTACCATAGCATTGGACAAGCCTTTTTAAAATTGTTTTATTTTTTTCAAGTCATTTTATTGGGGGCTCGTACAACTCATCACAATCCACACATACATCCATTGTGTCAAGCACATTTGTACATATGTTGCCATCATCATTCTCAAAACATTTGCTTTCCACTTGAGCCCTTGGTATCAGCTCCTCATTTTTTCCCCTCCCTCCCAGTTCCCTCTCCCTCATGAACCTTGATAATTTATAAATTATTATTTTGTCATATTCTACACTGTCTGACGTCTCCCTTGCTTTTTAAAAAAATCAGAATACTGCATGTGGCATAAAAATTTTAAAAAGGAAAGAAAAAGATACATAAATACTAAAGGATTTATAATGATAAACAATATTTTCTTGCTCCATTGTTTATTATTTTTTTTCTAGAGGCAATCTACCTTAAACTCTTAAGTCTCTCTCTTTTTAACTTTTCTGAATTAGGTACATACTACTCTTTTTGGATTTAATACTCTTTTTTTCTTGTTGATATGATAGATATCACTTTAGCATCTCTCACACCTATGGAATAGATTGTGACTCATAGTGACTGGTAATTTCTCACTTCTCCATAGATCCAAATATAATTCTGTTTCCCTATTAGGTGTGTTTCTAATTTAAGAGTATATTCTATTCTATTTTCCTACTGGGTACCTTTGTGATTTAAGTATATATATATATACACACACATATATATCCTTGTTTGTTTTCCAGCAAATGTCTTTAATTTTGCAGCCAGTTAATACCTACAGTAACCTTCCTTTATTTATTACTTTATTTTTAATACCTACCTTCTAAAACTGAATTTCCAGATTTTTCTAATTGCCTTTATAACTGTTTATTAGGCTTTCATTATGTCTTTGAGTTTGTGATTCATGATAGTCTAAGCCAGTAGTTCTCAACCTTCGTAATGCCACTACCCTTTAATACAGTTCCTCGTGTTGTCGTGACCCAGTATGTGGGCGTACCTGCATGTGGGCGGTCCTGCATGGAGAGTATGATCTTAGGTGACCCCTGTGAAAGGGTCCTTCGACCCCCCCAAAGGGGTCATGACCCCCATGTTGAGAACCGCTGGACAACCTATCTTCTACTCTTTCACCCCAAATACTTCCTGGAGCTTTTTCTGTCACCTGTGTAGTCTAGACTATGCTTTCGATTTGTTGCACAATTGCTATTTGACACTTCTTTTCTTGATCTCTAGGCATGACTCTATTTCTTGAATTTCACATAGTCTTTCTTGGTTTACGTTTTTGTTTGCTAAATAACATCATGTAATTTCATACATGTGAGTTTTCTTTGTTCTTGTCTGTGCGAAAATGATTGTTAGGCCCTCTTATGCCTTTTGATTTGACCAAGTTTGGAATTAGTGTTCCTTTTACTTAAGTAAATTTCCCATTTTTTCCTTTCTTGAATCTACCAATTTTATTTCTTGAATAACTAATGAGAAGTCTGCGAATATGATTCTCATTATTTTATAGATAAACTTTGTAGTTTTCTCTCAGAACTTTTTCTAGGGCAGTTTATCCTTGTGAAATTTCATCAGATGTAATTGCTTACATTATTTTCCCCTTGAATTGAACTTTCATGGATGTTGTTTTGTTTGCAGATTGTTTCATTTGTCTGTGGAATATTATTTTGAATTATTTTATTGATAATTCTCCTTTTTATTTTTTATCTTTTCTTCCTAGAATCCCCACTAATGACATTCTGTATTGTCTAGAATGGTGTTCTATTTCTCATTTTTGTTTTCTAACCTCTTTTATCACCCGTTTTCTGCTTTGAATTTTTGTTGACTGATAACTTATGTTTTCATTAATGGAAACCATACTGAATCATGGAACATTTCTGAAAATTCATAATGAAATGTAGATTTTGATACATATTATATGGGACTATTTTGTCCCTCTTGGATCTCAGATAGATTTTTGTGGGAAACACTTGTTGCTCTGAACTGTGGTGGGTAAAATTATGTGGGATGCATGCATTCCTTCAGATTGGTTGGCTCAGTGAGACAGCTATGTTCCTCTGGATTCTGTATCACTTTAGGGATTCCTTGTCCAAAACAGAAAAACCAAACTTGCTTTTGAGTCAATTCCAATTTATAGCGACCCCATAGGACATAGTAGACCTGTTCCTGTGGGTCCTTGTAAGACTTAACTTTTTACAGGAGTAGAAAACCTCATTGTTCTTCAGTGGAGCAGCTGGTGATTTCAAACAACCGACTTTGTGGTTATCAGCCAACAAATAACCCATTAAGCCATAGGTGCATACGGTTTAGGGCATGTGAACCTTGGCTGAACATGGAGTCATCAGAGAGAAAGACAATTTCCAAACAATGTCCTCCTTCTTCTAGAAACAAACAAAACAAACCTATTGCTATTAAGTCAGTTTTGATCCTAGAGACTTTATATGGTTTCCAAAGCTAGTAAATCTTCATGGCAGCAAAGTGCCTTGTGGACTGGCTGATGGGTTTAGACTACAACCCTTTTGGTTAGCAGTTGAGCACTTTAACAGCTGTGCCTTGAGAACTCCTTGAAAATAATGTACAGGAGCTCAGAAGTATACTTAGAAGGTTCTTTCCTATTCAAAGAGAAAAAACCTAGCCAAATTATACTCCGGGATGCATCAGCTCATACAATTCCCTGTAAAAACAGTAATTTGGGCACACACCCATTTCTTCTGTTTCACTTACCGTATATGCCAGACTCCTCCTGAGGCTACATCCACTTATTGTCAGTGGGAAAGCAGTTATTCAATAAACCCCAGAGGAGGAAAGTGTAGGACAATTACATGTCCTATGCATCATGGAAGAATTAATTTTTGATATATCTTATTTTTGGAAGGATTTCTGGATTTGTCTTGCACCTCTGGGGGGAAAAATAAATAAAACTTGTTGGAAGACGCATTTAAATTTCCAGGATAAAATGTAGATCTTACCTTTTTCCATATGAGTAATGTTCTATTCTGATTTTATTAATTTTATTGTATGCTATTGAGGTTACAAATTTGTTTTTCTCCTTCACTGATGTGTTCCACCCGAATACTTCAGTGTATACTTTCTGTAAGTGAGGACCTTTTTATACCACAGTATAAAGATCAACTTTAGAAAATTCATATTAGTTTATTTATACCAGTAAAGATTGATATTTTCTGTTACTGTCATTTGTTTTGCTACTCATTTTGGCCAGTGGGAGCCCCTTTGATCTCATGTCTCTCTGTCCATTTGATAACGCCTCATCTCTCTTTTTCTTTTTCCTTGGTACAGTATAATGTTCCAAAGCTTCTCTTCTATTTTTCCTACCTTAGCTTTGGAATTGACTATTTTCCCGAGGATTCTGGTTTCTTGGAATAGAAAGTAGTATTTTTAGCACACTTGAGTGTGTTTATTGCCATCAGGGTGTGCTAGTTTTAGGTCCTGTCATTGTGTGTGTGTTGTGTTGTGGGGATATGTATATTTAAGCCTATTTATGTACCTAGGTAGATATGAGTATAAGTGAAAAAATATTGGTACTAATGCCAAAAAGAAAGACATGTATATGCTATGAAAAAATGATTTTGGGGTCAGAGTTAATAGCATAAGTTTAAAAAACTTCAAGTGACATTCATTGAAACTTTGCAACAAATTTGCTGGCATGCTGAAGGCCAGGAAGACCTTGAAGATGACATGAGAGGGAAGAACTCAACCTTCGCAAATGAAGATATTGTGACTGAAGTTCACAAATTAATGGAAGAAGACCATAGAATTTGATTGATAAGATAGCTCCTGAAGTTGGGCTCTTGCATGGTTTAATAATTTCAATTTTAAGCAGAAATTTTATCTTCAGTAACTCTAGGCTGGATGAGGGCCCCAAACTGTACAAAGATCTAACGCAAAGAGCTGACCTTTCCATCAATATATATGTGTAAGAGAGAGCTTTAAATCAAGAAGCAATTATGTATTGGGAAAATATCCTAGCCCAGTTCAGATCAAGCCCATCAGCCTGATACTAGTCCATAAATCCCTCTCCAGACTCACTCAGCCATATGCAATGATGCAGAATGCAGGAAGATCACAGGCCGGTGGATACAAAATCTTGTGGATAAAAGGGCGGAGGAAAAATCACAGGGCTCTGGCAAGACTCAGAATGGCTCATCTATAGGAACGTGAAGGCCGAGAGAGAGAGAGAGAGAGAGAGAGAGAGAGAGCGAGCATCAATATTTGACACTAGATTGAAGCTAATGAAGATAACTTTATGGAACAAATTATAGCCAGGAACGAGTCTTGGACTTAGCAGAGAAAAGTCCAATCAAATAATGGCTTCAGAGGTGATCTGCTGGACATTTAAAGATGACAGTAAACTGGTTCTTAGTAACTTGAATATGTCATAAATTGGAAGCGGTTCAGAAGTTCATGGAAAATTCTATTATCTGTCAATTCCTTTTTTTGGACCAATTATTTGAAGCCAGCTCTTTTGTGCAGCGCCATATAAATAAATAAATAAATAAATAAATAAATAAATAAATAGCTTGTCTATTTGGGACCTCTTTCCTTTCCATGTAAAGTTGGTGATATATAATATATATATATCTACTCATGTAATTTTTGGTTGTAGCTATTGTCAGATTGTATATGTTATAACATATATATATATCTACTCATGTAATTTTTGGTTGTAGCTATTGTTGTCAGATTGTATATGTTACAACATTTACCAACAGTGTCCCTTATTCTTGTCTTTCTTAGTGTGGTCTGTTACCTTGATTACGTTATACTCACCTCACTGGTAGCTGGGGTTGCTTCTCCCATCCAAGTATCTTCTGATTAGAGAGTGGTTTCCCTAACTACTCTGGGCGGTTTAAGGGGTCGGTGGGGGAAGGAAGCTTGCCAACTTATGTCATTTTCAGCTTTTTTGATCAGGTTCATTTTAGCAGATGTGAAATACCTTGTAATTTTAATTTGCATCTGTCTGGACTTGTTTTTGAGTATCTTTTGGTCCCTTGAATGGTCGTCTTTCATGAAGTGTCTGTTTATGTTCTTGCCTATTTTGCAATTAGTTTGTCTTTTTGTTTTTGAATTGTTGAAGTTTTCTGTATATGAGATCTGACCTGTATCAGATATATTATTCCCTAAGATTTTCCCTCTAATCAGTAGGTAGGTCTCTGTTTACTCATTTGGCAAAGTCTCATCGATGAGCATGATGAGTATTTCATTTTAAGTGGGTTCGTTTTGGGTAGTACTGACAATACATCCTGTTTTTATTTACCTGCAAATGTATATTCAATTTTGCCAGCAATATTAGTTACAGACTGTTTATGCCTTTTGAATGGACCTCAACCCTTTAATGCAGAGATTGACTTGATGGCAGTATGTTTTTGAGTTTCTAGATGGATTTCTTCTATGTTCTTGTTTTCTTCCATTGCTTTAGATGTCTGATTACTGTGGCTGTGTAATGTATTTTGAGATTGGGGAGTGTGAGGCCTCCTACTTTGTTGTTCAGTATTGCTTGTCTATTTGGGACCTCTTTCCTTTCCATGTAAAGTTGGTGATAACGTTTTTCCACTTCAGTAAATATGTTTAAAGTAGAATTGCACTATATCTACAGATTGCTTTGGTTGTATGGTTTTAGAAATAGGTAAGCAAATTTACTATGATACAGTTGAATACGTAAAGTTAATAAGATAAGCCTTAGTGGGCAATTATGTAATATTTATTATTCTGGCTAGTCAAGATTCTTTAGTTTTAAGTTTATTGACATGGTTTATAGTGTTTTGTGGATTTGACTTTACATTGTTTTTCCTCCTTTTAGTTGACTATATTGTGGAGTATGATTACGATGCTGTACATGATGATGAATTAACTATTCGAGTCGGGGAGATCATCAGAAAGGTGAAAAAACTCCAGGAGGAAGGATGGCTAGAAGGAGAACTTAATGGTAGAAGAGGAATGTTCCCTGACAATTTTGTTAAGGTGAGTGTTCTCAGTCCAATTTCTGGTGACTGCTTTATAGATGATAAACTCTACTTGTTAAATATAGTTTTAAAAATCAAAGTGTTTTAAGTAACTTTGCAGAATTAAAAAGAAAAGTTCTGTCAATTTCTGTAATGGATATCATTTCCTAATGTCCTCGTAGATAATACTGTATGTGTTTGTGTATCTATTTTTAATAATAATATACATTTAGGTGGCACTTTGTAGTTTAGAAAGTTTCTTTGTTGCATACATTTTTATTTGAGCTCATTAATGTTCTTACAAAATAAATAGGGCACATATTAGTACCATGTGAACTGTTGATATTTAGACTGAGAGATTAAATGCTTTTCTGATGTTGGATGTCTAAGACAGAATTTGAACCAAAGACTGAAACAATTGTCTCTTACTGTTCTTCCTCTTGTATCTTATACTTTTCTTGCTGGTTTAAGAATGTATCATATCATTGTTTTATAGCAGTTAACTGTTAGAGCTGATACCAGAGTAATGAATATTCTTCAATGAACAACAAACATCCTTTTGGGGGTGGAGGGGTGGGGTAATTCTAGTCATCTTTGCCAGGTATGAAAATAGTGTGGAGGCCATATCTGACATACCGAGGCTATACAGGAGAGGAGTAGAATCCATTTCTACCTGAGCCCTAGGCCAGTTGCCATAGATAGAGGTCAGAAATGACCTTCACCATCCTCCTTTCTTTACTTTGTTACTGTACTGGGATTAAAAATCAGCCACATGGTCCTGGATTAGAGTTGGAGACATTAGCATGAATTTCAGCTTAGTTAAAAATACATACTGCAGAGGGGTCTCGGGGAGGAGATGAGCCAGTCAGGGTGCGATGTAATAATGATGAGAAATACAACCTTCCTCTAGTTCCTAAGGGTTTCCTCCCCGCTCCCACTACCATGACTCGAATTCTATCTTGCAAGACTGGCTAGACCAGAGGAGGTACACTGGTACAGATAGGAACTGAAAATACAGGGAATCCAGGACGGATGAGCCCTATAGGACCAGTGGTGTGAGTGGCGAAACAGGGAGGGTAAAGGGAGAATGGGTAGGAAAGAGGGAACCGATTACATGGAACTGTGTGTGACCTCCTCCCTGGGGGACAGACAACCAAAAAGTGGATGAAGGGAGACGTCGGACAGGCAAGATATGACAAAATACCCATTTATAAACTATCAAGGGCTCATGCGGGAGGGGGCAGCGGGGAGGGAGGGGAAAAATGAGGACCTAATGTCGGGGGTTTAAATGGAGAGAAAATGTTTTGAGAAACGATGTACAAATGCGCTTTACACAATTGATGTGTGTATGGATTGGGATAACAGTTGTATGAGCCCCTAATAAAATGTTAAAAAAGAAAATAAATAAATAAATAAATAAATAAATAAACAGGAACAAATAAACAAAGATGAGACCAATAAAGAGACCACAGAAAATAGAAAAAAAAATACATACTGATGGTTGAAATATATATATATGTGTGTGTGTGTATATATACATATAAAATCAAATAATGTATTTTATCAGATCATATTTTGATTTTATATATGTATACATAAAATCAAAATAACATTTGTGTGGATTAGTATACAGACATTCCAGGGGGCTTCCAAAAGCTCATGGGATAAGAGTGACTAGAAAGTAGAATTTTTCCCAAAAAAGAAAGAATTTTTCCACAAGCTTTTTTAAAGTTCTCATCTATTTCTTAGCTTTTTCCACTGAGATAGCATAATAACAGCACAATGTAAATATCAAAGTGAAGCAGGAATCAGACTTATACAACTCCTGAATCCAAAGATGGAAACATTGGAGCAACAAAATAAATAACACAGTGTTGGTTCATTACCAAAACGGTAATACCCGTATATACTCAAATATAAGCCGACCCAAATGTCAGCTGAGGCACCTAATTTTACCATAAAAAATGCACTGAAAAACTCGGCTTATACATGAGTATATATGGTAAATTTATTCATTTTCAAATGACTGAATATATAAATGGGCAGAGGGTAACATTCTATGGAATTAAAAATAATTTATGTAAGCATTCCTCCTCTCAGAAGCCCCCCTTAACTGTGCTCAGTATCATGCATCTGAAGGATAGATGGTAAAGAAACGATAATAACATAATTATGGAGCAACCTAGCAAATGCTAACACAACCAGATGATCAGAGCTAACATCATCAGTGAGAAGTCAAATATAACTGTTAGCAACTGGGTCAGGAGTTTATGGCAACACTACTATCTTGTGACTCATTGTAACTAAAATTATTCCAAAGTGAACCCTTATTAAAACAAGAATTAGCCACAAAGAACAGCAGTGAATAATCTGTAAATGAATAAGGCTATTTGGGTATATCACTTCAGGGGTTATAATTCACTGTCCACCTGAAAATAAGCCTTCTAGAGTGATTTTCAGTGGCACGCTGATTAAGTTACTATTAAGATAGTAACTTGGTAGTTGACATGTGGAGCAATTCTATTCTGTCCCGTAGTGCAGGGATCCTCAAACTTTTAAAACGGGCCAGTTCACTGTCCCTCAGATCATTGGAGGGCCGGACTATAGTTTAAAAAAAACACCTATGAACAAATTCCTATGCACACTGGACGAGTTGGCTGCTAAGCAGGACAGGCAGCGGCGGCAAAAACACCGGCTGGCCGGATAAATGTCCTCGGCACTGTGAGTCACAATGGATTTGATGTCAATGGGTTTGATGTCGGCTTAATGGTGCAGTGATTAAGTAATTGTCTCTAATGGAAAGGTTAGCAGTTCAAACCCACCAGCCGCCCCATGGGAGAATATGTGTTGATCTGTGTTTCTAAAGATGTGATAACCATGAATACCTCCTGGGGCAGTCCTCTTTGTCCTGTAGGGTCTCGGAGTGGGACTCCACTGACAGTGGTGGGTTCCACCGTACTAGTGTTTGAAGCTTTGAATTCTAGATTGGTTTCGTGACAACCTTGTTCGTTTCAGGGTCCATTTGCAGTTACTAGTCTTACTTCATTTTAAGAGTACATATCTCAGAGAATATCAAACAAGGATCTATGAATTTTTAATGTACAAAATGCCACCATGTTTTCATATTTCTTTCAAAATACTGAGTTGTCATGAAGAGGTGGAACAATAAAGGAAAAGTTGAGGTCTTTGCGCCCCCCTTTTCCTGAAGCACCACCTCAGTTTTGAACTTATATGTATCTTTCCAGTTTCATGCATACATAAACAAATAGTATTTTGTGTGACAAACATCGGGAGTCCTGATGGTGGAGTGATTATGTGTTGTGCTGCTAGCCACAAGGTCAGCGATTTGAAACCACTAGCTACTCTGTGGGAGAAAGAGGAGGCTTTCTACTCTGGTAAAGAATTGGCGTCTCAAAAATCTACAGGTGCGATTTTACCCTGCCCTGTAGGGTCCCTAAGGAGCCCTGGTGGCATAGTGGTTTTGCCTTGGGCTAAGATCAATGTGGTTGGCAGTTCGAAACCACCCGCATCTCTGAAGGAGAAAGACTGGGCCTTTCTACTCCCGCAAATGGGCACAGTCTCAGAAACCCACAGGGGTTCACTGGAGTTAGCATTGACTCGGTGTCAGTGAGTTTGGTTTTGGTTTAGGGTTCCTTTGAGTCAGCATTGATTTGATGACAGTGAGTTTGGCTTTGTGTGTGTGTGTGTGTGGCAAAGATTCACATCATAACTGTGTCAGCTTACAGTTTTCGGAAATAGTCAACGAGATTTCTGTGTGGATATGTGGATGCCTGATACAGTCTCTTCTACAGTGTTTGTTGTATAAGGCTAGGCATCTTTTAAGTGATTGTAAACAATGGAATGATGGTTGGATGATTGGGAGGTCACTTTCTAAGGAAGGGGAGTTGTAATAAAGTATGTGGAATTATAATGTCATGAAGAAAGGCAAACGTTCTAAACAGTTCTTTTGACTCTTAACTTTTTTCTTTCGTAATACAGCGAGCTTTAGTACCTCGCTGTACTATATTGCTCAGTTACTTAGGAGAGTTGCAGTCTTTAAGTCCTGATGTGCAGGCCTTAAGTTTGTCTTCAGTTTCTCAGCATCCATAAGCTAGTACTGCCAATTTTTCTTTTTTCTCAAACATTTTTAATCTTTTCCTGATGAATCCTTGAGACATCTTGAACTGCCTGTTTGGGCAGCTATGTTAGTGCATGCTCTCAAAGATCATTACTAACTTTCTATAGACCCATCTCATCAGTTTATGTTTAGTATTTAGGTTTCAAAGTAATAGAGATTTGGATTTCTTTGCACATAACAGTAATTTTTACATAACCACCAGTCTTTTTAGGGTATGATTTTGAAGTTTTGACACAAATGGTATTTCAGTGTGTCATTTTGCAGAATGCCACGTGTGTATGAATTTGTGTCACTTATTGAATGGAAAACTGATTTACTGTATACACTTCAGTATAAGCCGATGCGAATATCAGCTGAGGCACCTTATTTTGCCACAAAAACTACATTAAAAATGTGCTGAAAAACTCAGTTTGTACATGCATCTATACTGTACTCTGAATTTTCACCTAATTCACAATAACAAGTTAAACAACAAAGGTGTTGTGGTGTCGGAAGTCAGCTCTTATATGACGATACATCTTTATGAAAAAAGCATCGCTATAAAATCATAGAAACCTACATTAAGCAAGAATATCAATTGTAAAGCTTTTACTTCTCAACATATCTTCCATCTTGGTCTGTACACTTTTTTTTCATCATTTTATTGGGAGCTCTTACAGATGTTATAACATTCCATAATTTAAATAGATCACGCATAATTTTGCAATTACTGTTACAATCAGTTTCAAAACATTTTCTTCTTGAACTCTTTGATACCAACACCCATTTATCCCCTTCCTTCCCTAGCATTCCCTTGGTCTGTACACTTTTAAAGGCAATGTTTTTTTTTCTTCTTTACCTCTTTTTAGTTAAGATTTATTGTGCCAACCTGGCGGAAAAAA